GGCAGTGTGCTTATGACTGGCTCCAGTTTAACAGCAGAGGTCTCACTCCGAATCAGTCGAGCGGCAATATATTTTCATCGGTTGCGTAACGCTGTGTGGAAGCTACCTGGTCTGTCGCTCTGCACTAAGCTTCAGGTCTTCTCGGCCACGGTCATTTCCTCCCTTCTCTACGCTTGCGAAACGTGGACCCCCCTAATGGAACATCTTCGCCGGTTAGAAACATTTAGGCTGGCCTGCCTACGATCCATCCTGGGTTTAACCAGACTGGATTGTGTGAGGAGCTCACAAATCCTTGAAAGATCTGGGCAAGGTCCCATCGGTGAGCTCCTCCGGCGGGCAAGGCTGCGATGGCTGGGTCATGTAGCCCGCATGCCCAGCCAACGCATGCCGAAACAGCTTTTGTTCGGCCGGATTGAGGGGGCTAAGCGGGTGCGGCACGGGCTAGAGAAGAGATGGAGTGATGTGGTACAGGAGGACGTGGAGCTGAGTGGACTTGCCGATGACTGGTACCAGCAGTGTCAAGATCGGCCTCTGTGGAGGAGGCTCGTGAAGGATGCTACTGGGCAGTTGGAGGTAGTCGCCCTCCAACAACAACGGAGGGCGGAGGAGCGACGCTCACAACAACGAGCGGAGCGCCGGGTGGCTGAAGCACAGCAGGTTGGCACAGTAGGGGTCAAGGTGGTGCATCAGCCAGTCATCTCAGTCAGTCGACCCGTGGCACCTGGGTCTGCCCCGTGACCTCCTGCCAGCGGGCGTTCGACACTTCACGTGGCCTCAGGGTGCACATAGCCTGGCACAAGCGTCGTGGTGACGTCACCGCCATTTAGTGGCGAATGGCGGTTGTTGTTGTGATGGTGGTGATTGATGTGGTTGTTGTGGTTCCTGTTATGATGGTGTTTTTTGGTGATTGTTGTGGTGGATGTGGTTGGTGTTGTGATTGTTGTGGTTGTTGTGGTTATTGTGCTGGTTGTTGTGGAGGGGTTTAGGATGGTTGCGGTGGTTGTTGTGGTGGTTGATAGGGTGGTGGTTGTCATGGTTGTTGTGTTGGCGGTTGTGGTGGTGGTGCTGGTTGTTGTGGTGGTTGTTGTGGTCGTTGTGGTGGTTGTGGTGGTGGTGGTTTTGGTGGAGGTTGTGGTGTTGTTTGTGGTTGTGGTGGTGGTTGCTGTGGTGCTGATTGTGGAGGTGGTTGTGGTTGTTGTGGTGGTTGTTGTGGTGGCAGTTTTGGTGGTGATTGTTGTGGTGGTTGTTGTGGTGGTGGTTGTGGTGGTTGTGATTGTTGTGGCGGTTGTGTTTGTGATTGTTGTGGTGGTTGTAGTTGTGGTGGTTATTGTGGCGGTTGTAGTTGTTGTTGCACTTGTTGTGGTGGTTGTGGTTGTTATTGTGTTTGTTTTGGTGCTGGTTGTGGTGGTGGTTGTTGTGGTGGCAGTTGTGGTGGTGATTGCTGTGGTGGTTGTTGTTGTGGCGGTTGTGTTTGTGATTGTTGTGGTGGTTGTAGTTGTTGTGGTGGTTGTAGTGGTGCTGGTTGTGGTGGTGGTTGTTGTGGTTGTGGTTGTTGTTGTGGTGGTGGCTGTGGTGGTGGTGGTTGTGGAGGTTGTTGTAGTTGTTGTGGTTGTTGTGGTGCTGGTTGTAATGGTGGAGATTGTTGTGGTGGTTGTTGTTGTGGTTATTGTGATGGTTGTTGTGCTGGTTGATAGGGTGGTGGTTGTTGTTGTGGTGGTGGTTGTTGTGGTGGCGGTTGTGGTGGTTGTTGTGGTGGTTGTGGTGTTGGTTGTGGTTTTGGTGGTGGTTGCTGTGGTGGTTGTGGTGGCGGTTGTGGTGGTTGTTGTGGTGGTTTTTGTGGTGCTGGTTGTGATGGTGGTTGTGATGGTGGTGATTGATGTGGTTTTTGTGGTTGTTGTGGTTCCTGTTATGATGGTGGTTGTGGTGATTGTTGTGGTGCATGTGGTTGGTGTTGTGATTGTTGTGGTTGTTGTGGTTATTGTGCTGGTTGTTGTGGAGGGGTTTAGGATGGTTGCGGTGGTGGTTGATAGGGTGGTGGTTGTCATGGTTGTTGTGTTGGCGGTTGTGGTGGTGGTGGTGCTGGTTGTTGTGGTGGTTGTTGTGGTTGTTGTGGTGGTGGTTGTGCTGGTGGTTTTGGTGGAGGTTGTGGTGTTGTTTGTGGTTGTGGTGGTGGTTGCTGTGGTGCTGATTGTGGAGGTGGTTGTAGTTGTTGTGGTGGTTGTTGTGGTGATTGTGGTGGTTGTTGTGGTGGCAGTTGTGGTGGTGATTGTTGTGGTGGATGTTGTGGTGGTTGTGGTTGTTGTGGCGGTTGTGTTTGTGATTGTTGTGGTGGTTGTAGTTGTGGTTATTGTGGCGGTTGTGGTTGTTGTTGCAATTGTTGTGGTGGTTGTGGTTATGGTTTTTTTGGTGCTGGTTGTGGTGGTGGTTGTGGTGGTTGTTGTTGTTGTGGTGGTGGTTGTGTTGGCGGTTGTGGAGGTTGTTATAGTTGTTGTGGTGGTTGTTGTGGTGCTGGTTGTGATTTTGGTGGTGATTGTTGTTGGTTGTTGTTCTTGTTGTTATTGTGGTGGTTGTTGTGGTGGTTGATAGGGTGGAGGTTTTTGTGGTGGATGTTGTGGTGGCAGGTGACGTGGTTGTTGTGGTGGTTGTGGTGGTGCTGGTTTTGATGGTGGTTCTTGTGGTGGTTATTGTTGTGGTGGTTGTTGTGGTGCTTGATAGGGTGGAGGTTGTTGTGGTGGTTGTTGTGGTAGCGGTTGTGGTGGTTGTTGTTTTGGTTGTTGTGGTGCTGGTTTTGATGGTGGTTCTTGTGGTGGCGATTGTTGTGGTGGTTGTGGTGTTGGTTGTGGTTTTGGTGGTGGTTGCTGTGGTGGTTGTTGTGGTGGTTGGTGTGGTGGTGGATGTGGTGGTTGTGGTGGCGGTTGTGGTGGTTGTTGTGGTTGCTGTGGTTGTTGTTGTGGTTGTTATGGTGCTGGTTGTGATGGTGTTTGTGGTGATTGTTGTGGTTCGTGTTGTTGTTGTGGTGGTTGTTGTGCTGGTTTTGATGGTGGTTCTGGTGCTGGTGATTGTTGTCGTGGTTGTGGTTGTTGTGGTTATTGTGTTGGTTATTGTGGCAGGTTTTAGGGTGGAAATGGCGGTTGTTTTGGTGGTTGATAGGGTGGTAGTTGTTGTGGTGCTTGTTGTGGTGGCGGTTGTGAAGGTGCTCGTTGTTGTGGTGGTTGTGTTGGTTGTGGTGGTGGTTTTGGTGTTGGTTGTGGAGGTGGTTGCGGTGGTTGTTGTGGTGATTGTGGTGGTTGTTGTGTTGGTAATTGTGGTGGTGATTGTTGTGGTTGTTGTGTTTGTCGTTGTTGTGGAGGTGGTTGCGGTGGTGGTTGTGGTGGTGTTGATTGTTGTGGTGGTTGTTGTTGTTGTGGTGGTTATTGTGGTGGTTGATAGGGTGGTAGCGGTTGTAGTGGTTGTTCTGGTGGTGGTGGCGGTTGTGGTGGTGGTTGTGGTGCTCGTTGTGGTGGTGGTTGTGGTGGTTATTGTTGTGGTGGTTGTTGTCGTGGTGGTTGTGGTTGTGGTGGTGGTTGTGGTGGTGGTTGTGATTGTTGTAGTGGTTGTAGTTGTTTTGGTGGTTGTTGCGGCGGTTGTTGCGATTGTTGTGGTGGTTGTTGTGGTGGTTGTTGTGGTCCTGGTTGTGATGGTGGTTGTGGTGATGATTGTTGTGGTGGTTGTGATTTTTGTTGTTATTGTGGTTGTTGTGTTGGATTTTAGGGTGGTTGTGGTGGTTGATAGGCTGGTGGTTGTTGTGGTGGTTGTAGTTGTTGTGGGGGTTGTTGTGGTGGTTGTGGTTGTTGTTGCGATTGTTGTGGTGGTTGTGGTGGTTGTTGTGATGGTTGTTGTGGAGGTTGTTGTTGTGGTGCTCGTGGTGGTTGTTGATGTAGTGGTTGTGGTGGTAGTTGTGGTTGTGTTTGGTGTGGTGGTTGTTGTGGTGCTGGTTGTTGTGGTGGTAGATGTGGTGATAGTTTTGATGGTAGCTGTGGTGGTCTTTGCTGTGGTGGTTGTGGTGGTTGTTGTGGTGTTTGTTGTTGTGGTGCTTGTGGTTGTTGTGGTGTTTGTGGTGGTTGTTGAGGTGGTGGTTGTGGTGGTTGCTGTGGTGGTGTTTGTGGTGGTGGTTTTGGTTGTTATTGTTGTGGTGGTTGTCGTGGTGGTTGTGGTGGCAGTTGTGGTGGTTGATGTGGTGGTGGCGGTTGTGCTGGTGGTTGTGGTGGTGTTTCTTGTTGTGGTGGTTGTGGTCGTTGTTGTAGCAGTTATTTTGGTGGTTGTTGTGGTGGTGGTGGTTGTGGTGGTGGTTGTGGTGCTGGTTGTTGTGGTGGTTGTGGTGGTTATTGTTGTGGTTATTGTCGTGGTGGTTGTGGTGGTGGTTGTGGTTGTTGTGGTGGTTGTCGTGGTGGTTGTGGTGGTTGTTGTGGGGGTCGGTGCTTCTGGTGGCGGTTGTGGTGGTTGTTGTGTTTCTTGTGGAGGTGGTTGCTGTGGTTGTTGTGGTGGTTGTGGTGGTGATGATTGTTGTGGTGGTTGTGGTTATTGTTGTGGTTATTGTGGTGGTTGATAGGGTGGTGGCGGTTTTAGTGGTTGTTGTGGTGGTGGCGGTTGTGGTGGTGGTTGTGGTGGTGTTTCTTGTGGCGGTGGTTGTTGTAGCTATTTTGGTGGTTGTTGTGGTGGTTGTTTTGCTGGTGGCAGTTGTGGTGGCGGTTGTGGTGCTGGTTGTGGTGGTTATTGCGGTTATTGTTGGGGTAGTTGTTGTCGTGATTTTTATGGTGGTGGTGTTTCTTGTGGTGGTTGTTGTAGTTATTTTGGTGGTTGTCGTGGTGTTTATGATGGTGGTGCAGTTGTGGTGCTGGTTGTGGTGCTGGTTGTGGTGGTGGTGGTTATTGTTGCGGTGGTTGTTGTGATGGTTGTCATGGTGGTTGTTGTGTTGGTTGTGGTGGTGGTTGATGGTTTTGGTTGTCGTGGTGGTTGTGGTGGTGGTTGTTGGGGGAGTGAGGCTGGTGACGTCCCCACGTCCATGACGCAGCAACAGACGACTTGAACAGCTGGGACATTGTTGTCGCCTTTTGTGTTTGGCGCCGTCTCTTTGTTTATTAATTTGTAGATTTAATTTGCTTGGCAGTGGCTGTGTAGAGGATTTGGTCCTCGTGTTTAATTAATGAACAGTGCGCACGAATGACGCTGTACACAACTACATTGTTGTTGTTGTGTTCTGTATTTTTATTGTAGAATCGACGATACAAGTGTTGCAATGCCACTGTCGTACGCATACATTTATACTTTTTAAAATCAATAATATTGTTTTGACTTAAAACTTTTCTTCATTGATGACGACCGCTTGTCTTGAGATGAAAACGTCATGAGATTTGGTATTTGTATTTTTAATTTTTATTTAATGTTTATTGTTAAAATGTTATTTTTATCTTTGTGACTTTACCGACGAGGGTGGCGAGCGCCATGCGTCGTGGCGTCTGCCCTCTGCGCTGTTCACGTTCACCTCTCTCAGGACGCACCACACAGATCCACAATCCTCACTGAGTCACCAAACCCCACCCACACCCCCAGCGCAGGGTGTAGGGGCTGAGTGAATGTTTGGTGAAACGAGTGCAACGGCGCCATGGAGTCGGCGCTGTAAAACGACAGCAGCCCCGCGGCCCAGTCCAGATGGACCCCGACTCTCCGCGGAGGCTGCGGCACCGACAGTGACGTCACTACCCCGCCATGCAGCACTGAGAAGATGTCGCCATGTTTCAGTAGACACCAGGAGATGTCACTCATGCCCAGGGCGCACTTAGCACCACGCCCTCTCCGTGGCATCGTCCCGTACGCGACTCCAACCCGACACCACCTCGCGCTCCCCACGTCCACCTCCCAGTAGTGCTGACCCGACGAGAAGCTCTCAGAGCACAGCGCTTGTGGTCGGCACTCAAAGCGGTGTGGGTGACGGGGGCGACCCTGGGGGACATCGCTCCCCGTCACCGTCCTGAGATCCGATGAAATCTGGAGGTGGTCGTGAGCTGAGTTTGTGTCCAGAGTCGGTGAGCGTCCATCTGTGGTGAGTATTAGTGTACACATACTAATATTAGTTAGTATTAGTGTACACATACTAATATTAGTTAGTATAAGTGTACACATACTAATATTAGTTAATATTAGTGTACACACACTAATATTAGTTAGTATTAGTGTACACACTAATATTAGTTAGTATTAGTGTACACACACTAATATTAGTTAGTATTAGTGTACACATACTAATATTAGTTAGTATTAGTGTATACATACTAACTTTAGTTAGTATTAGTGTACACATACTAATATTAGTTAGTATTAGTGTACACATACTAATATTCATTAGTATTAGTGTACACATACTAATATTAGTTAGTATTAGTGTGCAAATACTAATATTAGTTAGTATTAGTGTACACATACTCATATTAGTTAGTATTAGTGTGCACACACTAATATTAGTTAGTATTAGTGTACACATACTAATATTCGTTAGTATTAGTGTACACATACTAATATTAGTCAGTATTAGTGTGCAACTACTATTATTAGTTAGTATTAGTGTACACACACTAATATTAGTTAGTATTAGTGTACACATACTAATATTCGTTAGTATTAGTGTACACATACTAATATTAGTTAGTATTAGTGTACACATACTAATATTAGTTAGTATTAGTGTACACATACAAATATTCGTTAGTATCCGTTTATAAAATGCTAATATTCGTTAGTATTAGTGTACACATACTAATATTAGTTAGTATTAGTGTTAACATACTAATATTAGTATTCGTGTACACATACTACTATTAGTTAGTATTAGTGTACACGTACTAATATTAGTTAGTTTTAGTGTACACACACTAATAGTAGTTAGCATTAGTGTACACAAACTTGTGTTAGTTAGAAGTAGTGTACACACACTAATAATAGTTAGTATTAGTATACACAAACTAATATTAGTTAGTATTAGTGTACACGCACTAATATTAGTTAGTATTAGTGTACACATACTAATATTAGTTAGTATTGGTGTACACATAATAATATTAGTTAGTATTAGTGTAAACATACTAATATTAGTTATTATAAGTGTACATATACTAATATTAGTTAGTATTAGTGTACACATAGTAATATTAGTTAGTATTAGTGTACACATACTAATATTAGTTAGTATTAGTGTACACATACTAATATTAGGTAGTATTAGTGTAAACACACTATTATTAGTTAGTATTAGTTCATAAAATACTAATATTAGTTAGTATTAGTGTACACATACTAATATTAGTTAGTATTAGTGTACACATACTAATATTAGTTAGTTTTAGTGTACACATACTACTATTAGTTAGTATTAGTGTAAAACACTAATATTAGTTAGTATTAGTTTATAAAATACTAATTTTAGTTAGTATTAGTGTAAACACACTGATATTATTTAGTATTAGTGTAAACACACTAATATTAGTTAGTATTAGTCTATACAATACTAATATTAGTTAGTATTAGTGTAAACACACTAATATTAGTTAGTATTAGTTTATAAAATACTAATATTAGTTAGTATTAGTGTACACATACTAATATTCGTTAGTATTAGTGTACACATACTAATATTAGTTAGTATTAGTGTGCAACTACTATTATTAGTTAGTATTAGTGTACACACACTAATATTAGTTAGTATTAGTGTACACATACTAATATTCGTTAGTATTAGTGTACACATACTAATATTAGTTAGTATTAGTGTACACATACTAATATTAGTTAGTATTAGTGTACACATACAAATATTCGTTAGTATCCGTTTATAAAATGCTAATATTCGTTAGTATTAGTGTACACATACTAATATTAGTTAGTATTAGTGTTAACATACTAATATTAGTATTCGTGTACACATACTAATATTAGTTAGTATTAGTGTACACGTACTAATATTAGTTAGTTTTAGTGTACACACACTAATAGTAGTTAGCATTAGTGTACACAAACTTGTGTTAGTTAGAAGTAGTGTACACACACTAATAATAGTTAGTATTAGTATACACAAACTAATATTAGTTAGTATTAGTGTACACGCACTAATATTAGTTAGTATTAGTGTACACATACTAATATTAGTTAGTATTGGTGTACACATACTAATATTAGTTAGTATTAGTGTAAACATACTAATATTAGTTATTATAAGTGTACATATACTAATATTAGTTAGTATTAGTGTACACATAGTAATATTAGTTAGTATTAGTGTACACATACTAATATTAGTTAGTATTAGTGTACACATACTAATATTAGGTAGTATTAGTGTAAACACTATTATTAGTTAGTATTAGTTCATAAAATACTAATATTAGTTAGTATTAGTGTACACATACTAATATTAGTTAGTATTAGTGTACACATACTAATATTAGTTAGTTTTAGTGTACACATACTACTATTAGTTAGTATTAGTGTAAAACACTAATATTAGTTAGTATTAGTTTATAAAATACTAATTTTAGTTAGTATTAGTGTAAACACACTGATATTATTTAGTATTAGTGTAAACACACTAATATTAGTTAGTATTAGTCTATACAATACTAATATTAGTTAGTATTAGTGTAAACACACTAATATTAGTTAGTATTAGTTTATAAAATACTAATATTAGTTAGTATTAGTGTACACATACTAATATTAGTTAGTATTAGTGTACACACACTAATGTTAGTTAGTATTAGTTTATAAAATACTAATATTAGGAGAAAAATCCACTCAGAAACAGAGATAAAATTCAGACTTCACATCGACAGCAGGCGTGAGGGTGGGGATTGAGCCGACGACCTTCTGTGAACAAGGCGAGGTAGTTTACATCTACATCGCGACCGTGGTGTATACCACAGTGCTTGTACTGGAGCATGCACTTCACCATCTTGGTGTGTGAGTACACTGAGTCTTGTCACTCCTACAGTTCCTCACAGCTCTGCTGCAGTGTGCTTCTCTGAGCATCCTTTTGTAAATTAAGATGTTAAAGCACCAAACTGAAACCTTGTGCAAGGAATCACGTCACTGCATTAACTACAGATACTTGTGGTGACCTTGCAAACAAAAATATGCTCTGAAAGTATATGATGATAGTATATGATGAGAGTGTATGATGACAGTATATGATGATAGTATATGTTGATATGATATGATAGTATATGATGATAGTATGTGATGATAGTATATGATGATGTTATATGGTGATAGTGTATGGTGATAGTGTATGATGATAGTATATGATGATAGTGTATGATGATAGTGTATGATGATAGTATATGATGATAGTATATGATGATGGCACGTGATAGTGTATGATGATAGTATATGATGATAGCATATGATGATAGTATGTGATATATATGATGATAGATATGATGATAGTATATGATGAAAGTGTTTGATGATAGTATTTGATGATAGTCTATGATGATAGTATATGATGATAGTATATGACGATAGTATATGATGATAGTATATGATGATGCATTGTCTTTGAAACTGATTGTGCCACACCAGAGACAACTTTCTCTAGAGCCTCGTCTCAAACGGTGTGAGACCAGAGGACAACGCCCAAAAGGTGAACAGCACAAAGACAACGCCATTTTCAGGACATTGAGAGCTCGGCGTGAACAGCTACATCAGGGGACCTCCCTTGCCAGTATCAAAATATAAGAATTGTTTTTTTGTTTGCATGTTCACCACGAGTATGTGTGTGGTTAATGCAGACATGATTTCTTGTAAAAGATTTAAGTTTGGTGTTTTAACATCTGAACACAACTGTTTTATTGCTAGAATCTATTCTTATAACAGTACCTTGTTTAAAACACCTGCTGGGCGCAACTTGTTCGGCTCACATCAGCCCTGAGTCCAACTCGGCAGCCAGCACCGTCACCCTCCTCTGCTCCCCACTGCACCCCACGTGACAGAATGGGTGCCCGCCTGAGGGTGCCCTATGGCCAGCGGCGTCGACATTCTACGCAGAGACTCTGCACGGCGATTGATCTCCCTAGACCAGGGGTCTGTAACCTGCGGCTCTCCTTAAGGGACCGCTTCGTTATGTTAGTTCTCAAGGTCACCACCGTCTCGTGTTCACCTCGTTTATTGTGGTGGCTTTTGAAATATCGAGTTGTCTTTTTTTATATATACTGGATTCAATAAAAAAATTATCTTATTGTTATTTTGGCTACCGACCCCTGGCTTAGACGGCCACCGTGCTGCTCTCAAGGAACACTTTGCCCGCTGCGTGATGCACCTCTTGATACACTGAGGCTCTCCTTGTTATCACCTCGGTGACCGCGTTTATCGCTGAATCCACCTCACGTCTCCCCCTCCCAGGTTGGGAAGTGCCGTGCACTCTCGCCTGGCTTAAACACACGACACAGGCCCGCCTCGTGGTGCTGATCTTGTGTTTGTAGTGAATGGGGCTGCAGCTATGAGTGAAGCAGAGAGACTTACACACAACAGCCAGGAGATTCGTTCGGATGCCTCCCACTGAGATGACTTTTGCGAGGTTAAGACCGTGGGAGACAGGGGCTGGGTCATCCTGAGTCTCCTGAGAGACGGAGCTCCTTCTGTACTCGTTGCACAGGGCACATACAGAGTCTAATGAGGGTCCATGTCTCTCTACACTCACAGCACAAGACTCACAGTCTAATGAGGGTCCATGTATCTCTACAAATGGACAAAACAGGCAGCCCTCGACATACGAATGCCCGTACTTACAAACCAGCTTCCATGAAATGAAAAAATAACTTTGACTTAAAATGCAAACTCGCAGTTGCAAACTGAACATCAGAACTATTTTGTTCAGAGGAACGATCCACCGCAATATGTAATGAGTCGGCCTTGTGCTGGGAGTGTTTACGTGTGTACGGACATTGTGCGTGTGAAAGTGTGGGGGGTACAGCTGGTGCATCTACCAGTCATCTAAGTCAAAGCCAACCCATAGCACCTGGGTCAGTCCCGAGACCTGTCAGCGAGCCTTCGACATTCACGTGGCCTCAAAGTGCACTTTGGCCTGGCAAAGGCACCGTGGTGACGTCACCATCACTTAGTTACAAATGGCGGATATTGGTATTTGTGTGGGGAGCGGTAGTGTAGTGGTGAGTGCGCTACGCACGAAAGCGACGACCCGAGCTCGATTCTTGCTCACGGCCAACACCAATACCTGGTGTGATGGGTGAACATCGCCACCAGGGAGACAAAAGCAGCGGGCCGTGATGCTGGCCACCCACCCCCTCGTGTGCCACAGTGGCGGCCATCTTGGGCGCTGCTCGCTGAGAGAACTTGCTCCACACATCCTGTGAAGGCTACACGGGGGATTGTTGTCGTTGTGGTGTCTTTGTGTGTGCATGCGTGCCCCGTTTGTTGTGGTGACTCATTGCCCCCTTCCGACTACAAGCTAGCATCAATGTAAGTTTAAACAAAGTTAGTTTTCTATTCATGCAAATGTATTTTATATTTAATTTACTATACAGTACATTTTTCAGTATTAGATGCAAATCTACAACATTTATTCTTAATTGTGAGTTTAACAACGCTTCCCTCTTTGTTGAACCGTAAGACATTTTATAACCGAGTCGGCATTTAAATACGCTGCATTATTGTTTTCCGACTTATGAACCATTCGACTTACGAACGAGTCTCATGAATAAATTACGTGCGTAACCCGAGGACTGCCTGTATGGGATACAATTGACCATATGGGATACGACTGCATACAATTGGGTTTATTAGGAAACACATCACGACCGTTAGCTGATTTGTCCACCAGGTGGCAGACTGAGCTCGAGTTTGAGTCTTGGTTGGTACTGACCTGAGACTCTCATGCAGGGGATCCTGAAAAACACACCCGCATTTCACATCAACATTGACATCCTAAACAGATCCCCACCTCCACACAGTCGCCTGCTATTTACAGCGGAGTGCGACATCAAGGAATTAGCAAATATCTGCACACTGAGAATGGAGAAAAAAGACAAAACCACTTTTTTTCAGGTCTAGTCCAGCACCTAAATGAGTGGCTTAATAACAACTCACGTGTTGAACTCTGAAAAAACTTAACTTGTTTAAAATTGTTACAAGGTAAATCCCACTGAGCTATGTCGCTCTATTTCAGAAGCAACCTGGCTATCACAAATGACAGTTCAACGAAGTGGCTTATCACGTGGGAAATTTATAGTAGCTGCCTAATACTCTGAAAGTATTATGTTGATTATAAATGTGGAAGAAAAAAACAGAGGACCCGGAGAAAAATCTACGGGACAATGGGGAGAGAGAGAAAAACGCAAAGTGTAAATATTCAGCAGGCTTCGTCAGTGTCGGGGTCAAACCCACGAGCTCCTGCATAGCAGGCGAGGTAAATGCGATGTTGTACTGGACAAGTCCATGTTTGAATGTCACACGGAAGCAAACGCGCATCTATTTTTGGACACCACCGCTTGTTCCCATATCGTAAAACACTGAAATAAGATTGCCAACAATGTCAACGTCTCACAGGGTGCTGCGCCTCTGCTGGTTGTAGATAAACCCTCTGATAAACAAATGATATGAGTATAAACCATAAACATAGTTTTTATACCTTACCAGGTAAGGCCCATTGAGCTATGTAGCTTTGCTTCAGAAGTAACCTTGCCACAAATGATAACTCAAGAAAGTGGCTTATCGTGTGTAAATTTATAGCAGCAAAATACTCTAAACAGGTGATGTTGATTCTAAATTTGGAGGGGAAAAGTGGAGAAACTGAAAAAAATACACGCATGCACGAGGAAAGAGAGATATGCAAACTCCGAATATACAGCAGACGTCAGGGTTGTTATCGAACCCACGACCTCCTGCATACCAGGCGAGGTAGTTAACATCTCCTAGCCACCACGGCGAGTGAATGGAGGTGGTGCCACCTGCAGGAAGGTGAGCGGGTCCTGCACGGTGAGGGCAGCGAGCAGCTGGTTGATCTCCCGCTCCAGGCCGCGTGCTCTGCTCTCGTAGCGAGCGATGTCCGCCTGGATGCGGGACAGCACGGAGCGGCCCTCCTCGTCCACGCGCTCCAGCGCCTCCCTCTCCTCCTCTCTCAGCTGCTCCCTCCGGCGCTCAAACTCTCGGATGATCCGCGCCTTGTTCCCACGCAGAGACTCCTACACAGTGATACGATGACGCGCTCTTGAAATGCAACACGACACAGTGCGATGTGACGTCATGAAGGACTTCGACATGGCCACGTCTCATTACTCCGTACAAAGAGGCGGGTGACTTAATTTTTGAGAACGTCGAGTAATGAAATGCATGAAAGGAGGAGATTTAGTGAGAATAGCTGGGAACACAAGTCTCTGGCTCCAGGTCCATCAGCACCGGAACTCCTCAGGGCTGCGTCCTTTCCCCTCTGCTCTTCTCCCTGTATACCAACAGCTGCACCTCCAATCATCTGTCCGTCAAACTATTGAAGTTTGCGGATGACACCACCCTCATTGGGCTGATCTCTGGTGGGGATGAGTCTGACTATAGGTGGGAAGCTGACAATCTGGTGACCTGGTGTAGCCAGAACAACTTAGAGCTAAATGCTCTAAAGACAGTTGAGATGGTTGTGGACTTCAGGAAGAATACAGCACCACTCACCCCCATCACCCTGTTAGACTCCCCAGTAAAAATTGTAGAGTCCTTCCGCTTCCTGGGCACTATTCTCTCCCGGGACCTCAAGTGGGAATTGAACATCAGCTCCCTCACCAAGAAAGCTCAACAGAGGATGTACTTTCTACGGCAGCTGAAGAAATTCAACCTGCCAAAGACAATGATGGTGCAATTCTATACAGCGATCATTGAATCCATCCTCACCTCCTCCATAACCGTCTGGTACGCTGCTGCCACTGCCAAGGACAAGAGCAGACTGCAGCGTATCATCCACACTGCTGAGAAGGTAATTGCCTGCAATCTACCGACCCTCGAGGACCTGCACACGACAAGGTCTATGAGGCGAGCGAGGAAGATTATGGCCGATTTCTCCCACCCTGGACACTCTCTGTTTCAGCTACTCCCCTCCGGCAGAAGGCTTCGGTCCATCAGGACCAAAACCTCACGCCATAAAAACAGTTTCTTCCCATCTGCTGCTGGCCTGTTAAACAAGGCCAAGGGCTAACACTGTTTTTAACATTTGATCTACATAACGACACGTTGCTGATATTAACTATGTTTCCCTATTTGTATTTTTAAATTATATCTTAAAGCTATTTTATATTCGATATTTATTTAATTTTATATACTTCAGCCCCTTAGTGTTAGACTTTTAACCCTTATTATAGTAAGACTTGTTTAAAACTTATTTAAGATTTTAGATTCCTATATGTTGAATGTATGCACCATCCTGCCAAAGTAAATTCCGTGTCGGTGTGAACTTACATGGCGAATAAAACCCTTTCTGATTCTGATATTCATGGGCACTCATGCCAAATGCTAAGTACCCGTATTGTTTGTGTGTTTTTGTCTGTACCTGCACGTGTCTATGTGTGTCTGTACCTGCACGTGTCTGTGTGTCTCTCTGTACCTGCACGTGTCTGTGCATCTCTCTGTACCTGCACGTGTCTGTGTGTTTCACTCTGTACCTGCACGTGTCTGTGTATCTCTCTGTACCTACACGTATCTGTGTGTCTCTCTGTACCTGCACGTGTCTGTGTGTTTCACTCTGTACCTGCACGTGTCTGTGTATCTCTCTGTACCTACACGTATCTGTGTGTCTCTCTGTACCTGCACGTGTCTGTGCGTCTCTCTGTACCTGCATGTGTCTGTGTGTTTCTCTGTACCTGCCCGTGTCTGTGTGTCTCTCTGTATCTGCACGTGTCTGTGTGTATCTCTGTACTTGCACGTGTCTGTGTGTCTCTCTGTACCTGCACGTGTCTGTGTGTCTATCTCTACCTGCACGTGTCTGTGTATCTCTCTGTACCTGCACGTGTCTGTGTGTCTCTCTGTATCTGCACGTGTCTGTGTGTCTCTCTTTACCTGCACGTGTCTGTGTGTCTCTCTGTATCTGCACGTGTCTGTGTGTCTCTCTGTACCTGCACGTGTCTGTGTGTATCTCTCTACCTGCACGTGTCTGTGTGTCTCTGTACCTGCACGTGTCTGTGTGTCTCTCTGTACCTGCACGTGTCTGTGTGTATCTCTCTACCTGCACGTGTCTGTGTGTCTCTCTGTACCTGCACGTGTTTGTGTGTCTCTCTGTACCTGCACGTGTTTGTAGGCACCCTTGAGCTGCTGTGTCCGTGATTCTGTCATAGTCTTCTTCTCCTCTCTCTCCGTCTTCTCGAGTCTGAACGCCTCCTATACACGGGGTAGACAAATACGCGATGTTTGGTACTCCCATCATTGTCATCATCATCTGGCCCATGTCTTTAACCTGGATCCTTGCAGGCAGGTTTCATGGATCTCCCAGCGATAATCATTGCCCTTTTCAATCTTTCAACCTCCGAGGTTTTAGGTGGTCATTAGGAGGCAGCACAACAGCCGTGTCTGAGGTAGGTGGCTGGATCACAGCGAGGTGTATTGAGGAGTCCCCACTACCACGCTTGTGTTTTCTTCAGTTTTTCCCAACAATGGAATCTCGCGGAACTGACAACCATAACCCCCTGTGATATCTACAGCACACACTTTGCGTGACAGTGCGGTAAACACCAAAATTTAAATCCGAAATCTTACAGGAAACCAAGCTGAGTGCCAGAGCGGTATTAGGGTACAGACAGCTCTGGTGCTGATAGGGCTGCTGCTGGGGCGTATTGGGACAAGTTGGACAGGACTCAGGGGAAGGCGAGCCATGTGACCAGGTTCACAGCATGCTAACCACTACACCACTGCTCTCCAAAGCAGGAACAACCGCATACTCATACACAGTTTAGACATTCCGAGAAATGCAGTGTATGTGATACTAGTAATTTAAGGAATATTGCTACAAGTAAATAGATGCAGATTAAGTTTAACAAGTCGGCTTTGGCGACCAATACTATTCATAAAATATCTATTTTTGGGTTAGGTCGTGTAAATATAAATGTGTCGTTAAACCCGCCACCACCCGACTCAGTCAATTAGTAAGGTTCGTCATGTAAACACAACGTGCCAATTAGTGACTAGTTTAGCACCACCAGTGTGTAGGAAAGTAACCCACGACATTTACGATTAGTGACTAGTTCAGCACCACCGGTGTGTAGGAAAGTAAACCCACAACATTTACCATTCGAGTACCATGACGTTTTGCTTCACTACTAATTACAACCAGCATCATCAGGCGACAGCCAGAATTGAATACGCAGAGTAGCATTGTCAGTAGCAGCAAACACAATAATGTCAATTTTAACACTATATTAACACTCTAACGATAGAGGAATATTACTAGCAGCAACAACGACAACAGAAACAACAAACACATCCATAGTCATGATGATGATGATTATTGACTTGAATATCCTTCATTGTGATGTTTGACTTAAGCTGTCCCCCATTTGATTGCCTCTGCCAGGGCCTGACACTGGCGGGATTAAGCGCTGTGAAAGTGAAACTCTGCCCACGCCAAGTTCCACCCTGTCTGCTTGCCGTGTGCCCTTAGTCCCGCACTCTGTTGCCCCATTTCAGCTGCCAATAAAAGCGTGGCAGGCTAAACGCTCTGGTGGTTGGCTAAGCTTCACCGTGGCAGCGCTCAACCACAATCCACTGTTCTGTCACGGAATGCAAATACACGGCGTCTATGTTAGAGGCAGGGTGGCATTTTAGACACCAAACATTTTGCAACAAAATCAAATCTAAATCTGCCCTATGGACAATCAACCTGTGCCTGGTGGCCTGTCTCTACCACTGGAATGTCTTCTGATTTGCCTCCTTTAAGCTCATGGTCAGTGCACTTTAAAGCCGTCTCACGTTTGAAGTATCTTGCGTTAGTCCACATTTCTCTCCACATATTATTGCTACTCACAAGTACGAATCTTATTATGTGAAGTGTATTTTACAACTTTGCCAGCCATGTCACAAAGTACTTTGTCTTGTAACTAAACCATGGAACACCCTACTTTGCTAAACATTAAAAACAACATTGCCATCTTCCGTGTCTCTGCTGTCTACCGTGTGCCAGTTTTACATTCCGTGTTGTACAAAGTGATTTGATTGACCGTCACAATGCTGACACAATAGGAGTTACCTAATAATGCAAATCTAAATGATAAAATACAGACCCTATATCTGAACAACACACACAGAGAATGCTGTAGTCACACTGAGGGATATTGGATTACAGCAGCGATTTATATATCACCTGTTTTGTCCGTTGTGCATTTTCCACTGGAATGACCTCATGCCCTCTATGTCCTCCAGCGATGGTGCAGACAGTGCAGACCAGGCTCTCATCTTGTTCACAGTAGAACTTGATCTGCTCCTGTCTGTGCTGCTGGCACCGTCGCCCCTCCAAGTTCGCGATGGGATCCACCATGGCGTGGTCTCTCAACCTGGGATTCTCTACATGAGGCCTCAAGTGCGTTGCACAGAAGTACATCTCACATCTCAGGCAGGTCTTCACTGCAGGAGTTTGGCCGTCACCGCAGATGTCACACACGACAGCCGTGGCCATCCCGTCCCCAACTCTGAGCTGCTCCGCCAGGTTGGCGAGGGCCACGTTCCTCCTCAGCTGGGGTCGCACAGGGAAAGTCGCTCGGCACTGCGGGCAGCTGAAGCTGCTCGCCGTCTCCCAGGCGTCATCCAGGCACCGCAGGCAGAACGAGTGTCCACAGCTCAGCGTGGAGGGGCAGACGAACGTGTCCAGGCATATGGAGCAGCGCAGCTCACTATCCACACTCTCACTGGGAGTCGCGCTCGCCATGACCCAAGGCGTTGCTGGGATCGCTCGCTGTGTGGTTCAGAGAGACCCTGGACCAGGACCTCTCTCTTATAGCGACGGTGAAGAAGGAAGTAAAATATTTAAAATATTTGCATTGTCGTCACTGACATCACGAGTCACTGCCTAGAATGTGAACCCGCGCCCCGAAGTGTGCAAACAGCAGCCTCAAGGTGAACACGGCTACTGTACACACCTTGCCACTTAAATAAATGAGTGCTGTTGTTAATATAAAGCAGTGAGGCTCAGTTGCTGTGGCTCATTCGTCAGATGAGTGTCGAGAGATAAACTCATCCTTCGACAGCAAGTTGATGGCAAGATGTTATCTCCCTCGCCCGGTATACAGGAGGTCGTGGGTTTGATCCCGATCCTGATGCCTGCTTTATATTTATAGTTTGCGTCTCTCTCTCTCCGTGGTCGAATTTTTCTCCGGGCCCTCCGGTTTTTCTCTCCACATTTACAATCAACATTACGCGTTTAGAGTAGTTGGCTGCAATACATTTCCGCGTGATCAGCCGTAATTTGTGGCCAGGTCGTTTCTGAAAAATAGCTACACAGCTCAGTGAGCTTTAGCTGCTAAAATAAAATATATATTTAGCATAGTTGTAGATATCTCATGATATCCTGTAACTCCATCTCCGTGTAATTACCCCAACGTGACAAGTTGCTTGAATGTCATCGTGGCAGCAGAAAATAAATTTGCGTGTCGCCTCTCGTGACAGATCCTGGAATCTTGAGCCTTTTGCTAGCAGTGTGACTCTATCACCAACTCTACCTGCCTCCATCACCCACTGCTGGCGATATCGCCGTCTCTCACTCTCACCTTGTCCGAGACTGCAGATTCCCGTGCCGGCCATTCACAGCCGCACCCACCGCTAACTTCACCTGCGTTGTTTCACATTCACACGCACGGCTACTCAACACGCATGTACACACAGCAACACAAATGCCTATCGGCGTTCACCATTATTGTAAAACAAATAAACCAAATAAAACTAAACTATTTTCATGTTACCAGGTGTAATGCCCCACAAAGCTATTAGAATATTCTTTTTCCGAAGCGACCTGCCCATCACAAATGATAGCTCAACAAAGTGGCTCATCATGTTGAATGTGCATAGCAGCCGAATAATCTAAATACTGCACTCTAAACGCTGCTTGAACCCGGAGACGCTCTCTTGGGCTTTGCGGGTTGTTCCCGGCAAATAACGAATGCCTTGGACTCTACACCCCAGTCGGACTCGTGGGAAAACCAGAACTGGATTACGCTGGACACACGACCTGGACTCATCCACTTTACTTACTAACGGATAAAAACGTGGCACTGCGTTTTAAAGCTTCCTTCTAGAAGGTCACCAATGCGAGCGAAGGGGGTTCCCACGATGTCCATGGCTCATTCCTCGGTACAGCAGCAGCAGCAGCGAAGGCTCAGTCCTCAGTGAGGCGCAGTGGCTCCACGCCAGGCAGGCAGAATGATCCGCCTCGGGTTTTACAGCCGACAGTGTCCCGGGAGAGCCGCTGAGGTGACAGCTCAGCACCCCTCGGGTGCCAAGCAGCCCACACCCGGCTACACATTAAGTTACACTCACTAACTCACACACTCACTCACACACTCACACACACTCTCTCACTCACACACACTCTCTCACACACTCACTCACATACTCACTCACACACTCACTCAATCACACTCTCTCACTCACACACTCGCTCAGTCAACAACCGACATTCGCCACTATGTGGCGGTGACGTCACCACGATGCTTGTGCCAGGCCATGTGCACCTTGAGGCCGCATGAAGTGTTGAACGGCCGCTGGCAGGAGGTCACGGGGCAGACCCAAGTGCCACGGGTCGACTGACTGAGATGACTGGATGATACACCACTTGTACCCTCTACTGTGCCAACCTGCTGTGCTTTAGCCACCCGGCACTCTGCTCGCTGTTGTGAGCGTCGCTCCTCCGCCCTCCGTTGTTGTTGGAGGGCGACTGCCTCCAACTGCCCAGTAGCGTCCTTCACGAGCCTCCTCCACTGAGGCCGATCTTGACAACACTGGTAACAGTCATCGGCAAGTCCACTCAGCTCCACGTCCTCCGTCACCACATCACTCCATCTCTTCTCTCGCCCGTGCCACGCCCGTTTAGCCCCCTCGATCCGGCCAAACAAAAGCTGTTTAGGCATGCGGTGGCTGGGCATGCAGGCTACATGACCCAGCCAACGCAGCCGTGACTGCCGGAGGAGCTCACCGATGGGACCTTGTCCAGATCTTTCAAGGATTTGTGAGCTCCTCACACAATCCAGCCTGGTTAAGCCCAGGATGGATCGTAGGCAGGCTAGCCTAAATGTTTCTAACCGGCGAAGATGTTCCATTAGGGGGGTCCAAGTTTTGCAAGCGTAAAGAAAGGAGGGATTGACTGTGGCCGAGAAGACTCAAAGCTTCGTGCGGAGCGACAGACCAGGTAGCTTCCACACAGCGTTACGCAACCGATGAAAATAGAATGCCGCTCGACTGATTCGGAGTGAGACTTCTGCTGTTAAACCGGAGCCGGTCATGAGCACACTGCCCAGGTATGGAAAACTCTCCACTCTCTCCACAACTGCCCCATCACCGATTGGGAGTTGTGGGGGTGGAGTGTCCAATGGTACAAAATACCCAGGCAGGTGCTTAGTTTTGGTGGGGCTGATGGTAAGGCCCCACCTCTTAGTGGCACGTTCCAGTCTCATCAGCAGCGTCTCCAACTCCTACGCTGAATGAGCAGCTATTACCAAATCATAGGCATACATAACGTGGTTGAGCAATAGTGAGCCATCCCTTAACTGCACCCGGGCATCGATCAGCCTCCCATTATATCTGTACCAAATTGAAATACCCCCGGTACAGCTATTGAAGGCTTCACGAACTACGTGGTCAAAATATATGTTAAATAATGTAGGAGCCAGAGGAGATCCCTGTCGCACCCCAAGGTGTACAGGGAATGGCTCTGACTTCCGGCCATGTAGTTTTACCCAGGCCTGCTCACCATCCTGAAGGTCCTTAATGATCGTGAGCAGAGGGTCAGGGACTCCGAAAGCACGAAGAACAACCCAGAACCCAGGCCTACTGATGGTATCATAGGCCTTGACCAGGTCAATAAAGCAGAGATGTCGGTCTTGTTGGAATTCCCTACACTTCTGCTGCAGCAGACGGACAGAAAATATGGTATCTGTGCAGGACCGCCCTTTCCTGAAACCGCATTGAGGCTCCGCAAGCCTCTCCTCAGCGTGCCTAGCAAGGCGATGTTAAATAATCCTTGCCAGGACCTTTCCCGACACACTGAGGAGTGAGATCCCCCTGTTTTTATTACAGTCTGTGTGGTCCCCCTTCTTAAGGAGGGGGACCACCAGGGCATCCTTCCAATCATGCGGAACCCGTCCAGTGGTCCTGACTGTTGTTATGATGTCATGTAGGGCAGTCTGTGCACAAACGCCACCCTCCCTCAGCATTTCGCTTGGGAGATCATCTCTGCCCGGTGCCTTTCCTGGTCTCAGACTCCGGATCGCCTTCACTACTTCCTCAATAGATGGCACCTCAGCCAGCCACTCACAGGGGGTGACTTCGTCTTCCAATATTTGAGGCACCGCAGACTCAGCAGGGTCACCCCACTTTGCGCCACGATGTTTTCCTGGCTGAAAGATTTTCCCACCCCAGGACCTCACAGAAATGCTCAGCAAATCTGCAAACCTGTTCCTAGGGGTCGGAGATTGGATCACCGTTTTTCCCCTAATGATGGTAATAGGTGTGGCGCTGCAGGTTACTTTTTTGATGGAGTTCAATAGGGATTTGTGATTGCGGGCCACTGAGGCAGACTCCATCTCCTCAGCAACCCGCGACCACCACCCATCCTTGCAGCGCCTCACAGCTCTCCCAACCTCAGAGCGAAGGCTGCGGTAAGCCTCCTCGTTCTCTGACGTGGGATGCTGTAGCCGATGAAAGTGGGCCTGTCGCTTTTTCTCAACCATCCTGAACACCTCCTCTGTCTGCCAGGGTCTATGGGGAGGTCTGGACCGCGTACCCAAAGCAGCCATTGCAACTGCATGAGTCACAGTCCTAAACCTCGCCAATTTACCCTCGACATCAGGAGAAGTAGGGACGATGCCAACCCCAGCTGCAAGTGATGATGAAATTCTCGCTAGCAACTTTCATCAGATAACTGAGACCAGGCCACCTTAGGTTGGAATGGGGTCCAGGATGTACACCCACCACCGGAGTGGTAGAATGGCAGGCGCATGTTACAGATGACTAGTCGATGGTCAGAGGGCAGATCAGCTCCACGGTAGGTCCTGGTGTCAAGGACATGGGCCCGCATCCGCTGTTCCGTCACTATGTAGTCCAGCAGATGTTCTTGCTTGGACCCGGCATGCATCCATCATGTTGTGTGGATGCGCCGATGCCGGAACAGCGTGTTGCTAATTACAAGCCCACGGGATGCACAAAAATCTAGCAGCCTCCTACCATTGTTATTGAGCTGATCTGGCCCATGCCTTTCAATCACTCCAGACCAGGTGCCAGCATCATGACCAACTCGGGCATTGAAGTCACCCAACAAGATGACTCTATCCCGAGGGGCCACTTTCGCCAGCACCTGTGACAGGAGGTTATAGAAGGCATTTGACTAATCGGCCTTGTCTGCATCCCTCCACGGATGTTCGTCTTCGGTGGGGGCATAAGTAACCACGACCACCACTCCTCGCCTCCGGTTGATTGGAAGGCGAGCCCAAAGTAGCCTGGGGCTTACAGCATCCCACACCTCACCACCACGCTCCCACTCGCCTTTCATTCTTTTGTTCAGAAGAAGAGCCACACCCTATTGTTTGGCAGACTCCTGCCTCGAGTAGAGGACTGTCCACCCCTCATGGTGGCAGGAGCCAGAGCCGGTCCACCGGACCTCCTGAATGTCACAGAGATCCAGGCGGTACTGGTCCAGCTCCCCACAGAGGAGTGGCAGCCTCTCCTCCGCAGTGAACGTTCGACCATTCCACATGGCCATTCGGTAGTGGTTTTCCGTTGTTTCTGGAGGAGCCCCGAGGGTAAAGATTCAATCACCTGGCTCCGCCAAATGGGGTTTGGCCAGGAGATGTCATAGACGCCTGTCCCCCCGAGGCCTCTGGCACAAGATTATTAGTTACATATTTAAGTCGTGGTTTAGTGGTAATTTATATAAGGTGGAGGGGTTACCAGCCCCTCGAACCTGTCCAGAGCCCCTATTTAGCCATTGTGGTGGTCACAGACGCCATGAAGGGAGAGGGCCAATCGGAATTGGCCCTCCCCCCCACAGCACTGTCCACGACAGCG